CAGAGAGGAAACAAAGAGAGAAAAGGCAAAACGTGATTAATACCACTTTATATTCACACAATAATTTAATTATTTAGAAGAAATTGCACATAAAACTGAACAAAACATAGTAAAAAATAACCTATAAATACAAAATGTAGTGAGTGTAGCATTATATATAGCGTATGGGTTTTAACAAATAAATTAAAAAAAGACAATAATAATGGTAATTTAAGTTTCCATCACATTCCCTGAGACTTTGACTCTTATTTGCTCTCACACACACACAGGCTTTGCAACACGTCGGCCATGTTGTCACCACAGTGCTACACAAAGTCACCACACACACACAGTCAAAAAAAAACCATAAAAACACAGAAGGAAGCCAGCATGACAGTTAAAGATAACAGGAACTGAACACACAGCTGCCAGACCACACACACACACACCACAGCCACAGCACACACACACCACGAGCAACACACACCACACCACACACACACAGCCACACACACACCCATACTTATCTCAGAGGACTTTCCACTGACTTACATTTGTTTCCTAAACTCTGCACTGTTACCGCTGCGGTTGTACAACTCAAAGAAAAGGCAGCGAGTTTACAGGAACCAAACGTCACAGTGAAAGACTTCATTAATGTGATTTTCACTGTAAACATAAATACGCAAGAATATATAAAGGCACAATCGAGCTGCTCAAGATGTTAATGAAATCAAAATATGTTGGTTTCTTGTGCACATATGGAAAATTAATGAAAAGTTTCATGGCGGCCACCAGGAGAAAAGTGCATTAGTCACCAAAAAGTAGTAGGATTCATCATCCGAGGACCATGAATTAGTTAGTTTTTGGGCCAAAGTACGTTAACATGAAACAAAACAAAACAAAAGTACACTAGCTAATCAAGAAACAAGAATTATTCTCATGATACACAGAAGCTAGTATTTAGCTGATTTATAAAAGCATACAATTTCTTCAGTTATTTAAATTGTTTCATCAGTTTCGGTTTAAACTTCTGTATTTTATTTTGAAAAGCAGTTGCTAACTGTTAGCCACGTTCACCCAAGAAATACGTAGTTATTATTTCTGTAAGTCGACTTACGACAACTTGCATTGCTGGGTCGACCTCATCCGTACTTGTTGCCATTTTCTTGGCCATTTTTCTGTCGTTACTTTTCATAAATGTAGCTAGTTAGCTAAAAAGCTTCGATTGCTTGACAGAAAAAGTCAACAATATTTGGGGCACAACACCTAATCGAGTTACTAAACAAATCATAAATAAATAAATCTGATCTGGAATAACATTTTATTGAGCAACAAGTCTCTCAAGTGGTTCAATTAGCTTTCTAGTAGCAGCTAGTTAGCTTAGCTGAGAGTAAAAACAAACAGCTAACAGCAGCCAGTGTCTCCCAGGTTAACTTGTATGTTATTTTAATTAAGATAATTAACTTATAAGAGCTAAACCAAGGGCTCCTAAGTTTTATATCTGTGAAATAGCTCGCCCTGCTAATGTTAGCTCAGGCAGCTAAAGTGTCGAACAGTCGTCAGTTAGCTATCGTTAAGCTAACTTTTAAGATGTTACACATAAAACGGGGCAGTTTTATTGTGGGATAATGTAAAGTATACAACAGTACAGTGTAACAGTGGCACAAGTAGAGAAAACAAATAATGTCAGCAAACTAAGTAATGTCAGTTAAACTTTGCTAAGCTAATATTAGCGACCATTTAGCTACCGCCAAACCGGTTAAACCAAACACTGTTGAACTAAGCAGGCGTAGTCAACTTCTCACGTTATTTCTTCCTTCAAATGTTAGCCTCACTTCAATATCATGAATTCATTTAAATGTATTAAGTAATTATATTACTGTAATATCTTGTTAAATGTCTGTTACACTTGTTTTCCATAAATAAATTAAGTTTGCTTTGAAGTTAACTTGGTACACAGGCTATAAGTCTGATCTTGGTATAGGGTGAAATGTTTTTTTAATTAATCAATTAGGACTATGATTGACTGAAACATTATATGCAGCTTTTCTGACAATTTGTTTATTTAATCTATTAAGTAAAAATGTTCTTAGTTATGAGGATTTTACTGCTTTTCTTTATCTTACATGATAATAAAGTGAATATAATTGTGGTTTTCAACAAGACATTTTATGACATTAGGGGGAACTAAAATGAACATTTCTCACTATTTTCTGACATTTTAAAGAAAATAATTGCAATAAATTTGTATAAGTATATAAGGATATAAGTCAGAAAAAACTGCAATAAGTTAGTTACGTAACCCACAATTGGCTTCAACAAGCACTTGCAGGTCACAGACTATGACACACACTCACATTCTGTTCTTAAAACTCCCAAGAGTTGTTTAGGAAGAAGCATTTTTTAATAAAAAACACACCCAGTGAAGCATATGATACGATGCTGGTTGAGTTTCCTCTCTGAACTAAAAAAAGGAACAGTCACAACACACTCAGTGCCCACAATGTTGCCACACCCAGTCAGCAAACACAGCGGTTACAGTCTAATGATACTTCCAGCTCGGTGCAGAGAGACAAGGAGAAAACAGCGAATATAGAGGAGGAGGACAAAAAACAGACAATAACATACAATAATATGAAAGCTTCTACAAGGACAATGCCGGTATCGCAGTACATTAAACCATCTACGATGACGTAACTGAGGCTTCAAAGTTACTAAATGTATGTAATTTCCTATTATAATGAAGTTAAATTCAACTTTTATGTAACTTCTAGTACAGTCTATAATGTTTAAGAGTGTCCTGGTTTAAAAGGTGCATATACCATCTAACCACAATGTCCCCTATTCGACCTCTGATGCATAATGCAGGTCATACACCTTATTTTCACTGTTTCCAGTCTCTTCACTGTCAACTATCACATTAAAAATATCCTTAAAATACGATATTGTATGTTAAACAAGTGATACTTCATCCAAAATAATACAAAACATGTGTAACGTCTTATAATTAAGGCTTAGAATTGTTTTTTAATCTTTAATATTCTTTATTTTTGGACTTTATGTGACTTTTTAAGTGAAATTAATCTTTAAAGAACACATCTTAAATCTTAATATCGGTCTTCCATGAATAAAACAGACCATAAAAAAGGTGCCTCATTATCATCAGTCAGGGTTCAACCTATTTTGTACATTTACATTAATGACTCCCAGACAATAAACCCTAATAATTTTGTTGATGGTGTCTGTCACCATTAGCACACTAGCAATAAATGTGTGGGAGTTCCCTCTCATCCGCATGCCAAAGGACCTCTTTCCTATTACATAATGACCCTAATAACACTTAATAAATATGGTCTATTCTTATGTAACAGAACAACAAGTGCTATTAGAGTCAAAATAACTCTGAATGAAGTCTTTCTAACTCAGAATAAGTTCCCCGCTCTAATAAAAAAAGAAGATAAAAATAGATATTCAGAGTTACAAAGACTTAATTCAGAGTTATTTGGACACACTTGCAGTTATGTGTTTTGTTACACAAGAGCAGACCAGTGGTTCCCAACCACGGGGTCGGGACCCCCCACTAGGGGTTGTGAGGCCTTCTGGATGTTAAGGGGTGCAAGAAAACCTAAAATAAATAGTCTATTTGAACAACAGCCAAGTATAAGGGAGAAGAATACATTGAAGTTGTGAAAAAAGAAGCCTATAAAGTCTGTATGATTGTTAAAAAATGATAAAAAATACATAATAGACAGAAAATTGTGTAAAAAGTTCCCTAAACAGGAAATAATCTACTCAAAATTTAATCAAATCACTCATTTTAGTTCACTATTTAAGCTAATTGTACAGTTTTTAATATAATATGAACAAAATATGTCACTTAGTTACAATCAAAAAGTAAGTAGAAGTAATTAGGAGGTTTCTGAGGGGGACTGTTAGTAAAAAGGGCCTTGTAGTTGTATAATATTATCATGCTGAATAATAGAATAATGCTTTATAATAAAGAACCAATATGCTACTAATATACCTGCTAACAGGCTACTTAATGGGGCATATGTGTACCTTAATATAAAGAATAAAAACACAGTTCACAGTTTTGTGTTTGTGTGTTTGGGCGTCTCTTGTTCCCTTTAATCTCCCGATAGCTTTTCTTTTACAGCTGTTAATTACAGGACAAACGTACTGGACATCTTTATCATTCCCGTAAGCACACAGATTAGCGACACACAATTCCTGGCACCCAAAAATCAGAGCTCTAATCAGTCCCACAGGTATTTTAAACACCTGTGAGACTGACTGTGGGTTTTATAGACACAATTTATTAAAGAATCTGTAGTTTCAGCCGTTTCTTTATTAAAATAATCTAAATAAAATGAAATTATAAGTGTAAAAAATGTGTTTTGGTCAGTTTTTTATATTCTCAGTGTTAGTAATTAATGTCTTCTGTGTGTTTATGTTTCATCCAAGGGAAAATCTAACTGTACGATTCAACTTGAGCCAATAAGGAAGTGCAGAAACTGGCTGTTTAGATATCAGTTATGATGTAAGAGTGCAATATCCAACAGTGGGGTTTCCCTGGAGGCCATGAGCCAGAGACTGTGGACTCTCTCATCCTAATAGCTTTCATTAGAAAGTCAGCTTTGAATGTTTTTAACCGTCTTTCACAAACCAGCTGATGATAAAGAAAGACACACTGGTGTAATGTCTCTGTGGTTTTAACTACATTAAACATTCATCTTTGTTTTCTCCCAGAAGAAAAAAAAAGCTGTTTGTATCTTTCCAGTTTCTGTATGAATCAATACTTTGAGTCGGTACTATCAGAAATATAAACACACACAAGGCTCCTTCTTTAACTTTGCTTAAATAAAATAATAAAAAATGGCAAATAATTGTATTTAAAATCACGTTTGATACTGGGTGCCAC